CCATTGGAAATTGAATATTATAAGAGAGGGTTTCGTGTGCCAGCAAAAGTTACTGGTGTGCCCTGTTTGGCATGCGTGCCAGAGGTTGCCCACTCCTGGCCTAGACATCTTCTATTGTTGCTGTGTATTCAGCCCTGATTTATTTACTGGTGCTTTTCTTCCAGAAGGGACCAAGGAAAGGGGCCAGAGTCCCTGCTTTCTTCTTCTTTTCCACCCCAACCCCACCTGAGGATATTTTCCCATTGATTTTTAGAGAGAGTGGAAGAGAGAGGGAAAGACAGAGAAATAGCAATGTGAAAGACACGAGCCCCGACCAGGGCCTGGGCTGAGGAGGTGCCTGCAACCAAGGTACATGCCCTTGGCCGGAATCGAACCCGGGACCCCTGAGTCCGCAGGCCGACGCTCTGTCCACTGAGCCACACCGGCCAGGGCAGGAGGTCACTTTTCAATTCCCGGTCAGGGCACATGCGCAGGTTGTAGGCTCCATCCCCAGTAGAGGGCGTGCAGGAGGCGGCTGATCAATGACTCTCATCACTGATGTTTCTATCTCTCTCTCCCTCTCCCTTCCTCTATGAATTCAATAAAAATATAATTATTGTATCCAAGCAGAACACTTTATAACCAAAAAATATTATGAAAACATGAAAAAACACTAAGCTACTAAATATATTAGGATGAGCCATACAAAATTATTATTATTTGAGCATTTTCATCCACAAAAACAGCAACAGGATGTAAGGGATAATTCTGAAAGAAGAAATATGATAAGTAAAAAAAAAAAAAAGTAATGATTAATAAGCAAACTCATTAATCAAATAAAGCAAGAAAACATGAAACAACGAAACAACATCTCTTCTATTTATAGCACACACACCTTGTAGATGAAAATTTTTTTTAAATATACTTTATTGATTTTTACAGAGAGGAAGGAAGAGGAATAGAGAGCTAGAAACATCGATGAGAGAGAAACATTGATCAGCTGCCTCCTGTACATCCCCTACTGGGGATGTGTCCACAACCCAGGTACATGCCTTTGACCGGAATCGAACCCGGGACCCTTTAGTCCACAGGCTGATGCTCTATGCACTGAGCCAACCCAGACAGGAAGAAGATGAAATTTTTATTT